TAGGCTATTGTTCATCCTCATAACAGTAGGGACATCCATCAAATGGGCAGCAGCTCCCAAAATGCTGGGTTAATTTTCCTGGTAGCCAAGAGGAGAAGTCGTGTAGAGTGCAGTGGGCCTTCCTCAGCTTTTTCAATGCATTGAGTGGGGGCACTATGGAAGAGGGTGCCTTACCTGGGAGGCAAGTGGAGGGCAGGAGGAGGTGAATTGATAAAGTACCCTTATTCCTCTCCTGCTGGCTCCATGCTCCCTCTTCGCAGGGCTGGGCACAACTCTGAGCCATAAACTGCTCAGTTTTGGGCTCTATGAGCTGCTATTAACAAAGAATAATTTCAGGACATTTGTATTAGAAGAGTAGCATTACACCCTACTAATCTCATTTACAGCCCTGCCTATCCAAGTTAAAAAACCAAACCCAAACAAAAGGAGCTTGCACAGCCAGAGGGGCACAGGAGAGCAGCATTTTGTCAGCAGTGGTGGGCCCCAGGCTGCACTGAGACTTGGCTTAGCCAGTTGTCATCAGTCAGCCACCAGCTCCTGTGGCTGCAGCTGCATGAGCATCAAAGAAGTGGTGGCATCTTGTGACCAGAATCTGTCTCTTTTGGTAGTTATTACGCAAAACAAAAGTTAATCACTTGCATATTTGATGAGGCAAAACTCTTCAAGTCTTTTTTTTTTTTTTTTTTTGATACTTCAGTCAAAAAGTTATATGGATTTTGTTATATTCAACACTTGGTCCAACAATGTGCATTTCCATTAAGGAAAAAAAAAAACAGCAGGGGTAAGCCAAAAAACATACACACACAAAATGTAACTATTGTTTTTACATACTTTATCCAAATAGGAATTTTACTATGTGCAGAAACTGTATCTGATGTTAAGCAGCTTGGTCTAGATATGAAACTTGAAAAAGTGAATTTATTTTAATGCATATAATTTTGTTTTATTTTGGTCTTCACAAGTCTTTTTCTACTTAACTGGTAGCAGACAGCCCCCAAATAGCATTTTAGTAGTATGATTTATATAGGTATAAAAAGATGTGGGATTAAGAAAGCTTTAACATTCTATTTCACAATTCATTTAGCAAAGTACCAGTACTTAGAAAATTTTACTTGGCAAGATCATACTGGGGTGGGAGTGGGCCAGTATGTGGAAAAGGGACCTGAGAAATGTTCCTATGATTAATGTGAGGCAGCACAGCCCAACGATGGGAATTTGCTCTGGGAGGTAGATCTTGCTGTAAACCATTCAAGATTAGATACGAGGTACTGACATGTGACAAATGAAGCTGCTGAGTGGCTCGTATGAGCTAATGATTTTCAATCTTTAATTAAGCACCTAGCTTGGCATAGAGTCTTAGATTTGAGTGAATAAGTACCTTTCAGGTTCAGGGTCAGAGCTTTGATGGGAATTTTGCTGAGGAAAGCTGACCTGGAGAGACTTTTAGGAAGCAAATTATTAGTTACTCTTCATTCAGAGCATTGAGCAAACCAGGTCAGACCCGGCCACCTTTGCCAGCCCCATGGCACCTCCCTGGCAAGTGGGAAGCTGCTTAAGATGCCAGAGCAGAGAGAGAGACTTTCCCCCGCTGGCCTGTTAGCAAGAAAGGGCACTCTGCAGCATCTGGGTGGAAAGAGGGGAAAAAAATGTTGCTTAGAATCTGCTTAGTTTGGGCCTCGTATTCCCTGACCTCCAAGTCTTTGGGCACAATTTTATACCCACAGCTGGCTGTGGGCACACAAATTATAGCATTCAGGAATTTAACTACCTGATGATTGGGCCTCTGCTCAGTGTTGAAACCCCAAGCATTCCACATTCATGAGAGAAGTCTCCAAAAACAATTCAAAAAACCTGCAAGATTGGCTTCAGGAGCATGAATTAATACTTTTTGAAACTTCTGATTTTTTGAGCCTGCATGGCTTGCATTTGCAAGTGCTCCCACCATCAAAAATAGTGGGAATCTTCAAAAAAACACAGCAGTTAAATCAGGTTTCTGCTCACCAAAATGAATCACAAAACCGGACCTTCAGAAAGACAAGGGCAAAAAAATTAAAAATATCAAGACTTAGGATAAAGTTGCTGGAGATTGTACTACAGAGGCTGCCAGGTAATGTCTATAAATAATATATATGTAATGTATGTAATAATATATATAAACATCAGGATCTCAACCAAATACACACAGGCAAAAAATTATTATATAGACAGACGGGCATCCATATATAAATATACATTTCCAAAGTTGTCACCTAGGACACTGAAATAGGTGATGTCTGTCTTTCAGGAGCAATGACACTTTCTAGTGCATCAGGGAAGCATATCAGAGGCTCCTTGGGACAGTACCCACAGTGTGGAACCCTCAGCAGAATGAGGAGCCTCATGAACTTCACCTCCTCCCACTCTCTTAGCAAGTTACTGACTTGGCCTTTTCATCCAAAATGTAGGCACCAGAAACACATGTAGGGCATGACAAAATATGTACCCTTCACTAAGATTTACTGCTCAGGGAGGAGTACGACTGAGGGGTGACCGATCCCATTGTCATTGCTTTCCTGGAAATCCTTAGATCCTAGTGCTCTTTGGTGGGGGTGTAAAAGTTGCATCCATCCACCTCTTGTGGATTTTGCTGCAGTTCTTACAGCTGCAACTGCATGTTGACAAAGCTGTAGGAATGGGTTAGTTTCAACAAAACCAAACATTTTTCAGCACAACTTCTAAGCATGTTTATGTTTATATACAAACACATCTAAATATCAATAGATTATTTGGACCCAGATTTGTGGAACAGGATTGAAATCTTATTTAGGGGTCTTTGGAGAAAGACCTTCTCCATAGGCCAGAAATGGATACAGAGGAGACCCTGGAGACCCCAAAAAGACCCCAGAGTGTGTCACAGTGCATCCGGCTCCTCACTGCCACTGAAATGCTGCTGCTGCTGCAGCAGAAGATGGCATTTTTTCTATCAGTATGGAAGACAGGAAGGTGATACAGTGCATTCCAGTGTCCACAAAAAAAAAACAGTTCATCACAGTCTTGCTGATTTTCTTCTTTTAGAGCAGTTGCAGCTATAGGAATTTCTTCCCCAGCTCAGTAAACCTTGCTGGGAAACACCCTTTCTGCCTCTGATAGGATAAATTAACCTTGACTCTGGTAAAGTCTGTGGTTCCAGAAGGTCTAACGTATGACCAAACTGAGGTCAGACCTCAGCAGGGGCTATAGCTCCTCCTGAGGGGAAGAGGAGGGGCAGCTCTGATCTCTGCTCTCTGTGACCAGGGAGAGCCCCAGGGAACGGCTGGAGCTGTGTCAGGGAGGGTCAGACTGGATATCAGGCAAAGGTTCTTCCCCCAGAGGGTGTCGGGCACTGAACAGGCTCCCCAGGGAATGGTCACAGCCCCAAGGCTGCCACAGCTCCAGGAGCGTTTGGACAGCGCTCTCAGGGATGCACAGGGTGGGATTTGGGAGTTGTCCTGAGCTGGACTCAAAGCGCCCCTTCCAACTCAGGATATTTTATGATTCTTGCATAGATTGCTCAGCTATCTTATACTTACTATCATATGTTGGTAAGGAAGAATCAAATCCAAATATTCTCTTTAATATTGAAACCCCAGAAATTTGGGAAAAAACAAACCATACAATTTAAGTGAAACTCAAACAACTCAGGAGGGTGCCCTCTATTTGCAGGGATAACCAGATCTGTACAGCTTTTATTTTAAGGCCAGTTTCTGAAGCAGTAAGCATTTTTTACTCCCTCCTACTTCATTATGCCATTGTACTCAGATTTCGGCCCTTTTATCCTTTGCCCATTTCAGTCATGTTCTGGGATCTGCAGCGAAACCGCTACAGGAGATGGTCTGCAGCATCAGTAATGCTTTCAGACAAGCTCGGTAGCTCATGTTTCTTTGTTAGCATCCCATTGCGAAGGGGAAAGACCAGCTCGCTTTGTTCTTAGGCCTTGATTTTCATAAGCTAATGATGACTGTGGGTGTAATTATGGTCAGGCTTAAGTGGTAACGCAAGGGCAGAAAAGCAGAGAGGCGCTTCCGCGGGGCTGGCTTCCCCCTGCCGCGCCGCGCCGCGCGAGGACATCGCCTGCCTTCCCCGGCACAACCTGGCCCGGGAAGCAGGGATGTGCCAGGGCTGCAGCAGGGTGACAGTGGAGCATGAGCCTGAGCACCCACCCGTTTGTGTCACTTCTGACTCTGAATTAAACCCCTCTGGCTGAACCTCCTCTGCAACAGCAATACGTTTCTCTTCGGCTCGCTGTTGATGGATTTTTTTTTCCCTCTAATGCTGTGTTATCATTGCCCCGGTGGAAAAAAATGTATTTGTGGCTGATTATTTGCTGAATAGTTGGGCTAAATACTGCGATGAGTGCTGCTTTTAAAGGGAATGGGACATTCTGTGGGTGGAATAGTCTGTAAGTTTACCACTGGTGGTATTGGTATAGGTATATAGGAAAAATTTTTAATTATGCAGTGAATATAGGATCATAAAATGGTTTGGGTTGGAGGTGACCTTAGGGATCATCTGGTTCCAGCTCCCTGCATGTAGGCTTATTCAGTCACACAGTATATACTGCTTTTCTTAAGCATTCTTAGATCATTACTTAAAGCAATTAAGTATTTTGAATCTTATGCCACTTAACCCCCAAACCCATTCTTGTTTTTTATTTTCAAAACAAAAATTATTTGAAAAATTTGAAGTCCTCTGTGTCTCTAAAAAAATGTCTCCTAAAACATAAATAAATATTCTCCAATATTTGGAAAAGAAATGGAAATGTTTTCCCAAAAAATGACAAAACACTGTATTTCCAACCAGGTGACGCTTGAAACAAAATGTTATGAGCCTTCTACTGGGAGGTGGGAAAATTTATAAGCATGCATTGGAAAAATTTCAACCAGCAGTAATGAATATTCATATGAACTAAACAGACTGAGGTTTAGGCAGGCTTGCAGCATTGTTTTCCTGCAGTAATAATATGCAAATGTCTGTACACACAGGTTCTCGAAGAGAGAATGAAATTGGAGTGCAAGTGTCATGGAGTTTCGGGTTCCTGTACAACTAAGACCTGCTGGACCACACTTCCCAAATTCAGAGAGATTGGATATATTTTGAAAGAGAAATACAATGCCGCAGTGCAAGTGGAGGTGGTAAGAGCCAGTAGACTGAGACAGCCAACCTTCCTGAAAATCAAGCAGATCAAGAGCTACCAGAAACCCATGGAAACGGATTTAGTGTATATTGAAAAGTCACCCAACTACTGTGAGGAAGATGCTTCCACAGGGAGCGTCGGTACCCAGGGACGACTCTGCAACCGTACCTCTCCCAACGCGGACGGGTGCGACATGATGTGCTGTGGAAGAGGGTACAACACACACCAGTACACCAAGGTGTGGCAATGCAATTGCAAATTCCACTGGTGCTGCTTTGTGAAGTGCAACACGTGCAGCGAGCGGACAGAGGTGTTCACCTGCAAATAACGGCACCGCGTGCAAACGCGCAGAGCAAACCACCGCGAGCGAGGAAAGTGGAGTACAACAAACAATGACAGCATCATTTTGCACATCTAATCCTCTTGGGGAAAAGAACCCCAGCCAACACCACAACAACCACTCCCTCCCCACAACTACCTATACTTCTAAGGATGGTGCATTTTGGCTGGCTGGCTGTTGTAACTGCTTTGGAAACAAGGGCAACAGGATTAAGGTGATGTTGACAACCACATGAAACTTTCTCTCTGTCTCTCTCTCTTTTTTTTTTTTTTCAACTACAATCTGGGTGTTGCAGAGTTCTCTTAGTGTTTTAAATTATACATATCAGAGAAGCTGATTGCATTGCAGCTCCCATGACATTTAAAAGAAAAAGACACTTTCTCCTATTTTGCAGCAACAAAACTGTCTGGCCCTGTACAAACAAAGACTTTTTTATGGAAATGAAATCGTCACTGACTAAAACACAGCATTCTTTCTGCAAAAACCAAAATTTCTAAGAAAGCAGATAGAGAGAAAACAACAGGTAGGGAGAAAAATCTGTGGCAGAAATACTCCACTATCAGTTTGGAAAAAAACCCCAAGAAGCGTTCACAAAATTACATCAGCTGCCAGTGACACTGGAACTCTTTGAACAAACATTAAAAATAATTATTTATGGTTTTAATAGTATCAAAAAATTCTAAGCACTAACGGGTAGCTATGTCTTAATTCTGTACTAAATGTAAACTTATTGGAACTCTGACTTTATGACTTTTGTATTTGGTTCTGCCTAAGTTCTTCAATGCTACTGATCTGTTGTCACTCCACTATTAGAGAGCTCAATTACTGTAGGCCTTAAGCAATTGCCAGAACTGAGCGAAAACATCACATGAAACTTTGGTTACCAATGCTTGATATCAACTTTTACCACTTGCCTCCTGAATAAGAATGACTTTTTCAGACCCAGGCCTGAGGTGTGGAGCACCTGCTCACAGATCCTCATAGGGAGTTTTAGGATAAAAAGATGTGCTTCAACAAGTATCAAAGGTTTTGCTTTGACAATGAATGCACTGGCAGGGTCTTCCAGGCATTGTGTTTTCCCTTTAATGGTTGAAAGTTAATATTTTCAAGATTTTTAAGAAAATTATGCTTAGTATGCACTCAGAAGAGGATAAAAGTCTGGCAGCTGAGCTCTAGGTTACTTCAACCTTTGAGCTGTCATGGCTTCATGAGCATAAGAGAGCCAAAATTTGGGTTAGTCTGTGTCATCATTATTTTAAGGTTGGCAATAATGTACCTCCTGGTAAGCACATGAATGTTAAAAGAAATAAGTTCACTTCTTAAAAGCACTCAATCCTAATTCCCACACCTTTTCCCTATGAGAGATTTTAAAACCAGCCTCAGATAATTTACTGCTGTAAAATCTAGTGTTTTAACCCCAAGAGCCCAGATATGCCCACTTAGAACACAGTCCATTTAACCATGTAATTGTTTGCTTGTCCCAAGGGTCCCTGCCTGATTTTCTGAAAGCTTGGATTAAAAATTTCCTTGCCTCTGCATATGTGCATTTTTAGCTTTTGTTTAATTTTGTTCTTTATATTGAGGGGTTGCAGAGCCATGAGCCCTCCCTACCTAACATGGAAGCACTTGTCCATACACATGGTGCTCTTGGGGCAAGGGGCTGGTGGACCTAGAGCTCCACCAGCTCCTGTGCTGGATATGTGAATGAGCCAGAATTACCTCTGTAATCTGTGGACCTGTATTATCAAAGGTAACTAATGATTTGGGGACCTTCATTTGAACACTTGTGAGGACCTGCCTTTCTGACCCCAAGCACTTACCCCATGAAAATCAGACCCCTTTGATGACTCCCTCACAGAGCAATGCAAAATTGCCCTTTATTTTTTATTATTATTATTTTTTAATGTTGCTGTTGATTTCTAAATACCAGCCTTGGCATGAATGAGTGCAACTTCACAGAAGTCAACAGGGGCCCCTAAAATGCTAGATTCACTCCATGTAATCTTGGATTCATGGGTATTGTTGTTGAGTAATAGTGATGATACTGTACTTTCACTACATTCTTGACAGGAAGCAAATAAAGCTCCCATACACAGTAATGCACAGTCTTATGGTACTAGATACTGTAAATTTATTAGAATAGTATTTGTTAAGTACAATTGAGGATTCCAATTAAGTTATATTATTGTATATCGTTTAAATGTCTATAGAATATTTTAAATTATTGTGAACTACACTGTGTTAGAAAAAAAGAAAAAAAGGAAAAAAGGTTATATATTATAACACCAACCACTCAGAAAAGTGGACCAAAGTGACACTTTCTCTCTTCCACACCCCTATTTGAAATAGCTCTGTCTGCTACTGTAAGACCACTGTAAAAGCCCCATGACTGAGTGAGCAGTCTAGAATGTAATGTTTCAGAGCATCCTACAAAAGCTTTGCTCATGTGGAGGTGCAGCATTCAAAAAGGTGCTGTATGGCACAAAGCAGGGGCTGGCAGTGGGAATGCTTGGATGTTGAAATATGTCCCATATGTTGAAATATGGAAAAACAGTTCTGGTCAGAAAATACCATTACCACTAATATACTGAAACACTCCCCAAAGTTACGACTTTTAACGAAGGTGTCTGTGAATAGAAGTGGGTTACACACAACTTTTATTTTTAAAATTGTAGTTTGATGTCAAAAACCTGTGACAATAGAGGTTGGAACATGACCAGTGACATGTGGTTTAACCATACCTTAGCCATGACAAAACTCAAAATACTTTATGTTATTAAAGAACTTAAGAGCAAAGATCAATTTGTTTACTACGTTAATGTTTTATGGCAAGCAGAAAACAAAAGATGAAATGTGTTTCCATTAAAACTTAATTTTTTCCCCTTCCAGTTCCTTTTCCTTTTATTTGTTCTTTGTTAAGGAAAAGAAAAAAAAGCAACAGGGTCTTATGAAAAGACCATTTGTGTTCAGGCTTCTCCACATGAGAAATGATAGGCGAATTCCAAGTCCTAATCAGTTTTTTGTATTTCAGAAAAATAGTAATGAACATGATTGTGTGTGGTATCAGTCTTGAGGCATCTACCTACACCAGTGCTACAGAAAAACCAGCACCAACAATGCTGCTACCAGAGACTTTAGCTGGCTACAATAAAAAAATCAGGTATTTTTGGTGAAAGAAAATAAATGTTTTGTGACAGAAATTTGGCATCTAATTCAAAAATGACGCTTGACCATGAACCACACGTAACAGAGCTGTAGAGGAGAGGGTTGAAGGTCCTGACTTGGGCACTTGTACTTGCTCCAGCTTATTCAAGCCAGCTATGGACATATCTGAAAACCCTACCTGAATCTGAACCTGAAGGATTTTACAGAATTTACTTTGGCTAGAATAGTCACAACCTCTTTGATATTGAGAATACTGTCTTCCTATACAAAATCTAAAGAAACTGTACAACTTTTGCTGTATTTACCCCTCAGGGAAGGTATCCAGATACAGATAGCGCTATAGTGAAATTCTACGTGAACTGAGTCCAAAATAACTTCATTAAAATGAACTAAGTTGGCCTGGGTTTTACAGCAGCATAAGTATGCACAGTATTTTACCCCCAGATGCCAAAAAAAACACTGTACCTTCTTTCTAATTACATCATGGGAAACTTGTTAATAGAGCTGCAGAAAGTTTTTAGAGCATATGGTAATATTACATTTGTTTCTACGATGACACCTGGAAACTAGATGAAACTCATCAAAAGCTTTGCAAAGCTTTTAACAAATCTAAAGCGTGCTGTAAGCAGGTCACCTAAAGTTTTAAACATATTTCCATGGGTTGAAGACTGAAACCCCAAAGCAATACTGCAACTAACAAATCAAGACCTTCCCTTATAGCAGCTTTCCTGTGCAAATAACTCAGTGTGGCTTTCACTATTGAAGGTAAAATCGACATTCAGCAGCAAATGCTTTCTATAAAGCTAATTTGCATTCATAGCAATTTTCATAACTGGACAGAATGACTGAATGTTTCCTTTCCAGCCCTTCAGAGCTTTTGTTGCAGTGACAGTTCCCACAGCGAAGGCGATAGAGTAAATAATACAGTAAAGACCCAACATTCTTCTCTCTGAGTGATGGCCACAACAAGATGTGGGATATACACAACAAAAACCATGCTAAGGAAAAAAACATCAAAGTTGGAAAGGCAGGGGAAGTTGTAAGCAATTTCAGTCTGTGTTACTGATATAGTAAGAAACCTCCTGTGTGCTAAACAAACCGCATTGGAGGCTAAACTTCACCCACAAACTCATTTCCCCTCAAATCCAAAGTCCCTGTCTGCATGTCTACACATTCAGACTTCAACAAGCCTACCCAAAGGTTGGTAAGTATTTCCTTTTTCATGTTTTATCTGCTAGTAGGATATGGTAGGGAGTAATTTTCTGGCAGGGAACATATGTTTGCAAATTTGAAATTTGCATCTCGTTTTTTTTAAATGAAGATTTAGGGCTTTCCCCCCCCCTGCACAATCCTGAAGAACAGATATGTTTGTTTTAAAAGATTTGTTCAGTGAAGAATGGCAGTTCACATAATACATGGTGATTGTTTGCAATGTGTTCCACAGAGCACAAAGACAGAGGGAATAGTATTACTGTAAACTCAAAATCTTTAGTCATGCTCGTTTTACTAAAGGCAATATATTAATTATTAGCTGTTTGGAGACCCCTGTGTGAGTCTATTTTGATCAGCCTTTTCAGAAGTTAGTGCTATGAAAGACCAAAAAACTGAAATATTAAAGTTTGCTTTGTTTCCAGGTCCTCTTATTCTTGATGCAAACAGATCCTCAGATCAATAAAAAAACAGCTTAATGAGACTTAAACTTGCATAGGTCACAAAAACGATTAAGATATTTGTTTCATAGGCATCCCAAACAACTGGCAACCACACCAGACACTGGAAATGTTTGCATCTAAAGCCAGCTGTATGATTAGCTTCTGCCTTCATTTGCCCAGCAATTTAGGGAAAACCCTGCATTTTAGATCCCATACAACTAAAAGGAATTCCCAAGAAGATTACAAGATTTTGATCTTATTGTTTAATTCCTGTGGCTGAGAATGAAAAGGAGCATTCCCTCAATCTCTGGGTAAAGGGAAACCCAAAGGCATTTTGAAGGCTATTCACACCACTCAACTTAAAAGACTAAAAGGCAGGCTAAGGGAAGTGACAGCCTCTCTGGAGTCCCTCTACAATAGGGACAGCCTTAGGGGGGGCCTTAGTTCACCCCTGACATACCTTCTCCCTCTCCTCTGGAGAAAAACTCTAGGAAGATAACACTGGATAATTTAACAACTGAAATGAAACACCAAAAATTTTATCACGGGAATGAAATGCCTTTTCCCCTCTACCATTTGCCTTAGCTGCTCTTGGGTACCAATTCCATTTTCCTTAGGCTTTTCTTAAGTGCAAACTTTATTATTTTTTATGTTGTGGAATAGATTTTTATGAGCTCTTTCTGACCAAAACTGTTCTGTGATCCTATGCCTGTGCACTTGTTAAAAGGGGATACATGTGAAAACTCTCTCCCTCCACCTAGCCAGAAGGCAGAGTAATTCCATTCTAAACCCTTGCCAGAGGCCCCAGCAAAGGCCGAGAGTAAGGGCTAAATTCAGAGGTGCTGGTTTTCAGTGTTTTTACCTGCCCCACCTGCCGTGGTTCCTGCAGCGCACAGGAGCGACAGTGGTGATGAATATATGTTTATTGGCAAGCACCTCACAACCCTTCCTCCTTATCTCTCTTCTTAAAAGATAAGCTACTTAATATTTGCCCCTGGCTGATATCAACAAATGTGTCATGATGTGCACCCGTGTTAACCTTTTGAGCAGATGCAGGCACTTTCAGTCAGAAAATCATCACTGGTATGCTCTGTTAGCACACTTACAGTAATGAGTCAGAGAAATGCTTTCTGTTTTTAAAAGGCCAGGAGCAATGCAGCAGGACAGGTTTGTCCACCCACTGCATTTTGTTTCAGCAATTCTGGCACTGAGCTGCATCTGGGATGAAAGAGTCTTGGGAAGCCAACATGCCAAGCTTGAAGAGTAGTGTAAAGTAAATATATAATGGCGTGGGAAAAAGTCTTTTGTTTGTTAATATTAAGTGATATAGAATATTGTTGTTCAGGATAAGGAACCACAGAGTTGTTGGATTGTGTTCAACAGTGCCCAGTTGCCCTTTTTAGTGCCTAAGTTGCTTTACTGTCTGTGCATGTGCACACATACAGAGGGACTTGGAAAGATTTACTGAGTCAATGCATTAATAAAACTTTACTTTTCATGAAAGAAATAAAAGAAGAAGGTCTGAGGGATAATCTAAGCAAGAAGTACCTGGAGATGGGTCGCAGCAACATGGTAAGAAAATACATGCTTTGGAAATTTCAGCTGACTACCTAATCCAAACCACTCCTGGAGGAAAGAGAAGGAATGAGGAAGTCAGTTTGTGGTTACCAGCTTCTCTGGCTGTGATATCCAGTACATAATTATTACAGGGCTACAGTTCAGCCAGCTTTTGACAAATGAACTACCAAGAATTTTCTCTGCATGTTTTCTATTCAAGTGAGTTTAGTCATAAATACTTGGTTCTAATGGCTTTTTCTTAGTCAAACAGAGCCACTCCTAAGCATTAATGTTCCTGGTATAAGCCTCTGGTTTTTTATTCAAGTTGAAGGTCCTGATAGACCTTCAATTTCCAGAAGTTGAATATCCTGGACTTTTTCAGCCACACTAATTTTGGCTAATTACACTCCTAGTACCCTACAACTCCAAACCCTTTGCAACAGTTCATATAGTCTCTGCTGAAATGTTTCCATGAAATAGAAATAATCCCTGAGATGCTCAATTGAGTTAATTTTAGAAAAGGAAAAATATGTAGCAAAAGCACAATCAGGCCAGAATATCAAATTTCTTTGTTCCCAAGCACCTTATTCAAATTCAGCTTCTCTAGTCTTCAGGATCATAAATCAGAAACTCCTGGGTTTGTAATGCTCCCATTAACTTATCCAGAGGTATCCCCTTTTTAGAGGTATCGGTAAATATCAACTTTAAGTCCCAAAGACCTGGAAGAAGAAGCAATGGGCCTTTAATAATCCCTAGTGATGCCACTTTATGCTTTGGCTGTATTTGAAAGCTTAAAATGAAAAGGTAGATGTGGAAAATGTTAATTTTTAATCAGTGCATATTTTTCAAATCGTTATACTTTTAAAATTGAGACCTAGAACTCATTTTGATTATTTGCAATTTTACAGGGAGATAATAAGAGGTCAATACACCTCTTTGGGATGTTTTCCTGAAGCAGAAGTTAAGATTTAGTGAATTGAATGCCCTCTCTTAGTATTTGAACCAGTAGACTCAAATCTACTGGTAGTAGTTTTTGTAGTTTTTGATTCTGCATTAGAAAGTCAGGCAGACTTCGAACACATTTAGTCAAAGTATCAGCACTGTCAATTTTTGTTTTAGGTAACTCCTGAAACATTCTCCCTATCCCTAACTACCCACTAGCAGAGAAAACAAACAGAAATAAAATTTTAAAAACCCAGCTAAATGAATGCTTTCCCAAGGACCTGCATTTGCTTTCCTCTAAAAGCACCACCCTCAGTTTTCTGTTTAAAGCCCTTTGCATTCAAGAGCTGTCTCTTTTCCCTAGGCGGGTTCACTTGAGCTTCTTTTTCCACTTCAGCTTTTTAGTTGGCTACACTCTCTCACAGCCTGATACCTTTTCAAATGCCTCTACTCAAGCTGAGACAGATCCAAAAGGCACTTGCAGAGGGTGTCGGCCCTGAAAGCTTTTCTGCTGGCACTTCAAAGCAGTCAAGTGTTTGCCTGCTCCCATGTCTCTGCTGCGGCAGGAGGGA